GTGCGACGCGGCCCAAGCGGTGGTTCGGCCGCGATTTTTTTGAAATTTGAAACTTGGTTTATTTCTGTCTAGGGCCTGGCAAAAAAGAGTTCTGAACCAGGTGATTTAGAACCAGTTTGTTTCAAGGATTCCAAAAATATATTATATACATATTTTCACAGCAGTGGTGGGGGCACGACAAATCGTTATTTACCGGTTCCGCCGCGTTTTTGGTGAAATGGTATATTCGACATAACTCGTCACCAAGGTCTCTGTGAAAGCTAAAAGTGGGTTCATTCGAAAGCCCTGGTTCATAGCTTTCGAATGGTGTATATTTTGTTGGGTAAATAACCAGGCCCTAGAGAGAAATTTATCAAGTGGCCTGTGGGCGGGTCCAGGAAAACTACCACTTTTGTCGCAAACACACAGTCTTCGAACCTTGAAGCCTTCAAAAAAGCATCGGCGTGCTCGCCAGTCCCACTCCTTCTGGCTTCGCTCACGGATTTCCTGCATGCCGCGTTTATCTGCTTCACGTATTTTTCGCATCTTCCCATTTTCTCTAACAGGTGCTCCGCGATTAGGGTTGCCGTGGCGAGTGTCATGCTTGGAGAGTTCACGCCCGGACTGTAGATATTCTGCACAGGCTTGTTTATGGTCGTCCACTCTTGATGCAAGAATGCAATGTGCGTTTATGTTGCTTCGATTTTAATGCAGTCTCAACGGAAAGATGTTCAGATGGAGCTTCATGCTTGGGGGGGGAACTGCTTCGGTCTAGTAAGTATTTGATGACGGCAGGCGTTGTAGGACAGTGCCAAAGTACCATGATGCCACGAAAGCGCATACGGTGAATCGACGAGCAAATTAATTGTACTTTGTGCCAGAAGTGTGCCACCATGCGCGCTGTCCCGCTGGTTCGGTCCTCTTGATTGGCCGGTTCGCCTTCCATCTTCCTGTCTTGATCGCTCTTTTCGGCTTCTTGATCAATGTCGGAAAAAAAATCGAATCTCGGGGTCGGCGTAGTAGCAATCACGGCATTATGTTCCTTTCAGAGGTGGTTTAGTAATGAGAATGTGTGCGGACCGAGTGAGATAGCAACGTGACCTAGAACCAGCTAGTCATGTTGCGAAGAATGCGCATACGCACGCCGATGCGTCACCATGCTGCATACATCAGAAGTGTGCGACCACCTACGACCATGCGCGCTATTTCTCTCCTCTTCGCCGGTTCGCCCTCTTGCTGTCTCGATCGCTCATTTTTTGGTGATCTTCTTGAATAATGGATATGTTTGGAGAAAGTCTCTCATCGCGACAGTCTAGAAAATGTAAAAAACAAAAACGGTGTCATCATCACTAAGAACAGCAGCAGATGTTCTTCGTTGTCCAACTTTTTTGAACCGTTCCGGGGTGATATATATGTGATTACAATTTGGCTTGTGGCCACGGTTAGAAGGTCGTGCGACCGACTGGCTGCCTGAGCAAGCGACCAGACGTCTGAAAATTATTTGACGACAACAACGAACGGTGACCGGCGAATTTCTCTACATGTAGCGCCACACACCCGTTCTCCTCCACGGACATGAGTCCGCGGGATATTACCAATGGGTTGAAGCGTTGTACGGTGACCACTAATTGCTATTGTTGTGCTCCGAGCAGCTGTTGTTCCTTGTTTTTGTTTCCATCCACCGTGGGGTCGTTATCTGTCAACAACGCAGTAAACTCAGCCAGCAGTTAAATAAACCCGCGAAAAACAAATCAGCTTCAGACAGGTGACGCCGACGATGATACTCGTCGGTTTGATTCATCACATTTATTTCTAGCGCCTCCCCAGGGAGGGTAGAGGGCGCGCGTTGAATGGCGCACTAGAGAGGGCGCATGAAGTCGTCCCCAACTACTAGGCAGCTTGTTGCGAAAGGGAGGGCATAGGGCGTGTAAATTACCAGAATTTTTTTCGTTAGAAATGCAGACAGCAGGTAGATCAGGTGCTTATTAGTGGTTGTTTGGCCAAGTTCGTCGCACGGCCTCGCCAAGGGGTGGTGGGGCCGTGGTCGACTTGTTTGCTGGAGAGTGAGCCCGGAGGCGGTGTTATGATGAGAGTGTTTCGCCTTGATCTTTCTCTACGGCAGTTCGAATTATAGGTGATATGAGCGGCGTGAAGGCGTTGAGCTTCATAGTGAAGTAAGGGGTTTTGATCCGATAGCAGGTTTCCCCTTGCTTTGCATTGTTTTCGGAGTTTTTCCACATGATGTGCTTTCGGCGCACGGATGGTTAGTCAGGGTGACCCTTGTGAGACACGTTTGATTTCCGTCGAAAATCGGAAATCGAAAATCGAAAATCGAAAATCGAAAAAAAGATTGTACAAGGCTCCAGTGTTCCGCCGCCAGATCTTTGATCTGTGGGTATTCGTTCCGAATATTCTCGGATATGGAAAAATCGAAAGCGAGCACGGACAGACTCGAATCGAAAATCGAAAATGCCAACCGGAACATCAAGCTCGCTTGCTACACCCTCGAGAATCATACATGCCTCCATTCGATCGTCTAGCCACCTACAGACTGCTTGACGATGGTAGCAATGGCTTGGCAGAAAGCTGACAAGAGAGCACGGTAGACTTAGTTTGAGCGAGGTCTGCTCTAAGTTGAGAGAGAGAGAGAGTCATCACGGTGAAATTCTTTCTTCGTCGACGGAGTTCGATGGCTGCTGTTTCGGCTTTCCTGCATGAGCACGCAGGATTCAATCACACATTGCTCGCTGAGTTCTCGCAGCGCATCGATGCGAGACAAAGACCCCCAACCCACCTGATCATGGCCGTTATCCGAGGCTATCGTTTGCTGTCTTGGATGCCGTGTGGCTTTCATGGTCATGGCTTGGAACATCGCAATTAGCATGTGTACGGGCCTTGTTCGCTTCGTCCGGATTGAATGTCGATTTCCATTATTTCTAGCCTGCGCTGTGCAGTCTTAGATCCAACCCGAAATGAAAAAAAAAAATCCAATTTTGATTTCGATTTGTCGAAGGAACATATTGTTGACAAGGGCCACCCTCGATGGCGTGAGTAGCTAAGATGAGGGTTCTTGTGCGAGGAGGTAGACTGGTCGGATGGTATCGACACTGTCGGTTCGTTTGACGCAGATATGAATGACGTTAGGGACATGCTCGGGGAAACTTTGGGATAACGAGTTGCGCCCCCCTTGCGACTGGTTTTGGCCTGGCACTCCTCCTTTCTTCTCCTTTCTCCTCCTCTTCGTCTCTGATGTCGCCCGTGCGATCTAATACGTGCGGTTAACAACACTCTGTGGACTCTGGAGCTCATAAAACATGGGCATCTACAAACGCACACCCCGTCGGCGTGCGCCGATCGATGTTGAAACCATCTCCCGAACAGTGTCGCCTTACTGCTGACAACCGCAGCGACCCGAGGTTCATGCGAGGCGCAGCTGAGAACCCTCATGTGTGACCCAGAACCGACAGCTGTAGATCGAAGCGTGTGAATTGGCAAGAGTCTAAGATGCGGCAGCACCGTGCCATGTACCGGCAACAGACTGCTGTATGCACACATGCACGCATGGACGTCGTATGGACTTATGCACGTATGCAGGTGCACACGTGCACCCCGAGGGTCAAGATCTCCGCAAGAAAGATCTCCGAAAGCAATTGGTGTCAATTCTGACAGTCCCGCCGACTGCAAGGGGAGTGGCAAGGTGCGCGAGGTGCGAGGGAGAGTGGAACAACAGCAGTACTTCCGCAGCACTCGCTTTGCATCGTGGTGTTCCACCAACGTCGACGTGGTTCCTTCGCTTTCGTGTGGCAAAGTGATGCGGTGGGCGAGAGACGTCATCGCACCGCTTCTGGTCGCCTCGGCGCCGCAGGACACGGTGTGTTTCCACGCGGGGCATCAGTCGTCCGTCGGTGCACGGTGGCACTTTCGACATGTAGCAGGCAGAGCACATGCTTTTGATAGCTCGTTCTCGGCCAGGGGGGAGCTTGCTGAAAGACTGCGACATGGTCACAAGAAGAGTGGCGTACGGCTATGGTCTGGCGTCTTGTTAACGATGACCGCAGGCAGCGCGCAAGAGAGAGACGGTGCCCCCACAACCACGACGCCAGCATCGCCATCTACTGCTGTTACGACGAGGTACACGATAGATGTAGAGGTGCACCCGGACGTCGCAAGCGTGGCCGTGAAGCATGCCCTCCAGCTTCCCCGGTTTCTGCATAACTATCCAATCTCGTCACATACACAGGCCGCCTACCGCCATGCGGTCGATTTCGTGCTGGCGTTCCACCGTTCACCACAGGAACAGCAACAGCGATCCCCTTCGCCTGTAGTCCTGGATTCTGGCTGCGGCACTGGGCGCTCTAGCGTCTTGCTTGCCAGATCTTATCCTCACCTTCCCGTGATAGGAATCGACCGGTCTGCAGTGCGGCTTTCCAAAGGAGGAGGAGATGCGGGAAAGCGGGTTGAGGAGCACATGCATCAACACAACAGCTCTACAAGACAAGCAGGCGCGGAGCAGGGCAGCGACGACCGCGTTGACGCACGAAGAGCTCACGGTAGCTCAGGCGAGAAGAACCGCCCCCCTTTGCAGAAGAAAGGCAATCGTGACAATCGACTTAGGGAGCCTCTTCCCGAAAACCTTCTACTGCTGCGCGCGGACCTTGTGGACCTGTGGATACTGGCATCGAGGGAAAACGCCTGGGAAATCAAAGAACACTACATCCTTTACCCCAATCCGTACCCGAAGCGCTCCCAGCTACGATCACGGTGGCACGGTCACTCTGTTTTCCCGGTCCTACTCAGCCTTGGTGGGGTGATAACGCTACGCTCCAACTGGAGGACGTATCTGGACGAGGTCTGCCAGGCAGTGCTGGCCATCAATGGGGCAGCGCAGACGACGGAGGGCGAGGGAGACTCGGCTACCGATGAAGGCGGGGTTGGCGATCTGGAGTCTAAGAGGACGAGCAGCGGGGGCAAAGACGGTGCCGGAGAAGTATCTGGGATGGATGCAGCTGTCGCATCAGCAGCCGTTTCCACGACGCTATCGGCGACCGAAAGCGACGACAGCGTAGAAGCAACCCGTGTGGACGTGAGTTTTGGCATCGGTCGAGCTTTGACTGACGATGAAGGTAAAGCCGAAGTTCCGGCTACCGTCGCTGCCGCAGCCGCCTCTTACTCGGCTAGCGCAAGGGCTGGCCCCTTGACCTTTGTTCCAGCAGTGCCTGCTGCAACAAACTTCGAGGCAAAGTATGTTGCAGTCGGTGAGACGGTGTACGAGCTTCGGCTAGAGCCGAAACTATCGTAGGGACTGCAGGTTGGCAACTTCAGTTGCCTCATCGTTTGCCAGCATTGCGACGTATTACAGGGGAGGGGAATGTTGAATACGGATATCACGGTACCTACGGTGAGTCATGCAGAAAGTATTGCTTTTCGCTGTTTCCTAGTCCGCGTCTTCCCTAGTGAAGGCTGGTGTGATCCCTTGCTTCTTCTCCCTGTGCCTGTCGGCTAATTAGGCTTGTTTCAGCAGGTGCCCCCGCGTTGTAGTACGCATTGCAGGCAATGCGCTTCCCTCCGTAGAGTTGAGATGCTGATGGGGACGTGTAGCTGGGTGATGCGCGTCAATATTCGATGGCAGTGTAGACTAAGATGTACGTGGGCTACACTTGTCCAATCAACTTAGTCTGATACTTCAATTGTGTATTCCTCGCCGAACGATGTTCATGAGCTTCATGTTGATCCGCGGCACATCATTACACCCTCTGTTGTAGCTATGCGGCCTCTGGACTATGACTTAGATGGCAACATGCCCTTGTTTCCGTCCACAAAATGTCCCTTCTTGCCTTCTCTAGCGTCAACGGAGGTCAGCGTCCATGCCGTGGGTGGCCTCCCGTGAACGTTTCGCCAGATTCGTGCAATGCCTATGCAATTTTAACGGACACGGTTGGGTGAGATGCAATACACAAGTGCGTCCAGGTGATTTTTGGTTTACTGCGTTGCTCTACGATCGCAGATGCTGCCTTTCGCAAAGAGTGTGTGCGCGTGCATGACGTGTTTTAACTCACGTCAAGGCACCCCGTCAAGGCCAGAGCACGACCTCACTCACGAGATGGATGTGCCAGTTGTGCTACTGCGATGTCGCTGTCACTTGATAGCTGCGGTATGGGTGCTGTAGAAAGGGTATGGAGCAATTCAGTGTACGTTGATCATCCTTTTCCGCGCCAGAGTGACATGTCTAGTACAACGGCTTCATTCTTCGGGCACGAAACATAGTCAGGTCGAGTCTTAAACACCGTGCTTTTCGGGTTTTTTTTTTTTCTCACGGAGGGGGAGGGTGTCTGCAAGGGAAAAGTCATTCAGATCCGAGCGACCTTCTTACGGTTTCTCGAGACGTACTCTTTTTCCCGGCCGAAAACAGAGACAAAATCACGTTTTTTATGTCATCACCAGTTTCAGTTCACGGTTTCGGCTCGTGTACGACCAACAAGAAACAGAGCGCCCTGTTTTTGCGTCGCCAGCAGAGGGCATGTGTATGACCTCACGCCATTGGCTGGAGATTGTGGACGTCGTCGGCCAAAGGCCTCTCCCTGGCAGGCCTTGTGGACTGATCGCACTCGGAGCAGCCAGAGAAAATGCAACGTCCATAAAAGCAACACCGAAACACACTTCGGTTCACGTTTGCAGGCCGTGAATAATCGAAATCGGACAATACGCTCTGTTTCTGGGACGCAAGCAGAGGGTATGAGCATGACCACACGCCGGTGGCTGCAGTTCACGGATGTGATCGACATAAAGCCTCCCTTTGGCATGCGTTTTTGACTGGCGGCGGGTGACACACGGAGCTCGCACGCAGCGGAACAAGAAATACCTTTAAAAAGTCAACACCAATTCAGTGAACGTTTCCAAGCCGTGTGCAGTCAACACTGAACCATGCGCCCTGTTTCTGGGACTCGGCCATATGGGGTATGTGTATGACTAGACTGCAATTTGTGGATATCGTCGGCCTAAACCCTTTCTCTGGCGTGCGGTGTTGACTGGGCACACATGCAGTAGGTGTTGATTGGCCCCAAGCCGAGTGCTGCTGGATAAGCACGGCTGTCCCGGTCGACAATGTGAAGAGATGGTAAAGTCGTTTTATTGGTCGTCCTCGTAGACACAAGCAACGGAAGCGAGTGGGCACCAGGGTGCATCACAAACACCGAGGCACGCGAGCAACAGTCGGAAGACACATTCGGGACTCGGAACACATGACAGCACGGAACGCGTGAAAACTTGCCAAAGAAACCACTCCCGGACATACCCCGAAGATCCAAAATGACCGATGGACGGCCATGTACTTGCGCACAGACAAAGCTCAAAATCACACATGAGTACTACCGCAGTAGCCTTCGTAAGGATGACATAATCCACATCACGAACAGTAGGCACAAAAACGGCTCTTTTGGGCCGAAAGGCAAGAACATCAACAGAGCAACGTGGCAGGGTTGACGTTTTCGGCTCGTTTGAATTTTTGATACCTGCAGAGGGTTTGTGCATGATCTCACAATGGCCTCTGTTTGGGCAGCAGACGGTGTAGTTCCTCCTTCTGGCACGTTCAGGGTGTGACCTCCCGCCCCACTTCCAACCCGGAAAATATCAGCCGATCCAGATAGAAAACGAACATATTTTCTAACTCGTCCGCTGGAATCCTGGGAAATGTTCGGCCAGTAGGAAATTGGGCCCTATAAATTTGCCATTTTCCTACGCGTAAGTAGTACAAACAGTATTTGGGACTAAGAAAGGACCCCCCCGAAGAAACAAATCCGACAAAAGCGTTGCCCAAGACTCGGCCGCAGCGTTGTTTCTCAAGCCTGTTCAACTACTCTGTTCCCTACTTTTTTTTTTTGTCTAGCCTGTCGTTCAACCATCTTGGGAGAATCGAGGCATGCACAGAAGTTCCTCTCAAGCGCTGCTTGTGCACGTCATTCCTTCGTGTGCCGCGAGAAGGGTGCGCTAACCCATTTGTGATTTCGCCAAGAGCGCAAAAAAAACATTTTTCCGACACCTACCCGACCCCTCCTCCCCCCCCCCCCAGGGGTACCATGAATGATTCATTCTGTTCGTGGTATATTTTTATGCAGGCTTTGATGGCTTTCTCCCTCTACATTGCGTGTGTTTGTGTGTGCTGGCGTTTACGGCACGCATACGTGTACAACGGACCTTGTTACCAGGTAGTAGTTGTTGATATGTTTTGAGATACGAACGGTGGGTGTAGCTACATCCGGCGCCGGAAGAGGATTGTTACTTCGGATATTAGCTGTTACGGGCTGGGGGCACTTCTGGTAGGTTTTCAAGACTTGAAATGCAGTGCCTGGGGACAACCCCCAAGCTAAACCAACTCAGAACTTGTCATTCCTTCTGCGACAAGTCCGCGACATTTGACCTCGGGGTGAATTCGGCGAAATAACACAAACTATCGACACACACACCAGACCACAGGGCACAAAAAAAACATCCGTCGAAACGTCATCAAGCCACGCATATTATTCACTCCGGCAACATTCCGGAGAGGGGCTGTCGATGAGCCTACGGCGGTGGCATCATCACCGTCGCCACGTGCAACGCCGTACATATTGCGGTGTGTTGTACTTATTCACTCCCCCAAGCCTCCCCACCTCCCTCAACAAGGAGACTGGATAAACCATTGTTTCTTCGAGCGATTTCGCGTCGAAGGGCCTTCGCCCTCCCTCCTCCCCCCGCCCCCCTCCCCCTCCTCCTCCTTCCGCCTCCACTTCCTCCTTTCCCCCCTCCCCTCCCGGTGTTTACCATCGGGGTTGGGTTTTCGTCGCTTGGCAACGACGTTGTAAACCAAGCCGCCCCTCCCGGTGTTTGTCATCGGGGTTGGGTTTTCGTCGCTTGGCAACGACGTTGTAAAACAAGCCAATTCACTTCGTGAACTCGGCAACCAGGTTACCGTTTTTTTTTTTTTCCTCCGTTTATTTTTTTTGGGCGGTAACCATAATGATGGTTGAGTAGATCATGTTGTGCGGGGTGAACCCTCACTCCGCGCAAGGGGGATGATCGCACCACGTTGTGTTAAAATGGTCAAGCACCCTCGAGGCAGTTACACAGTGCTTACAACTGTCTCTGGAAGTGAAAGCACCAGAAAATAAATTAATTCATACGCAGCTGTCATCCGTACGCAAGGAAGTAAGCACAAGATGCCGAACACCCTTAGCAGGATGCAGCGCACCCTTCATGCGACTCGCCGAATATCTCACGGCGCTTCGCGCTTGGTGATGTGAGAGCCTGGTCCGGTGAGAACCCGGCGTGCTCCGTCCCGGCTTTGTAGGGATGCGAGGTCAATGGTCTAACGACTACGGCATGCACGACTATGAGTACCCCCCCCCCCCTGGCCGCCGCCTTCTCCTCCTCGAAGTCCTCCTCCGACTCGGAGCTCTCGTCCTCAACCGAGTCCCCCCCTTCTCCATTGACGACTCGCCTGAGAGTGACTCGTCGTCTATGCTACTGTATCAACCCGACGAGACCTTACGGCGTGCTACGTGGGGTTCTCCAGCCGTACTCTTCTCGTGTGGGACCTTTCGTCGTGTGACGGGGGCTCTGACAGCCGAACCTCCATCTTGTCAACGGGGTCGTTGATAGGGATCCCCTCCCAAAGGAAACTGTGATCATCGTGACCACTCTTCCCCAAGCTACTCTCANAACGGGGTCGTTGATAGGGATCCCCTCCCAAAGGAAACTGTGATCATCGTGACCACTCTTCCCCAAGCTACTCTCACTCTCTCTCTCTCTCTCTCTCTCTCTCTCTCTCTCTCTCTCTTTCCTCTGCTCCGGACGGTACCGCGGCTGCGTTGCACGCAAGTGCACGCAAGCTCGCCAAGGGCTACGTGGATTGCACTACCCTCGTTCATGAAATGTGCCCCCTTCATATGAAGGATTTAGCTAGGTTATGTAGGAAATTCAATAGCGTTGGGGAGGGAAGGGAGGGGGGGGTTACTCACAGTCGTGCATGCCGTAGTCGTTAGTCCATCGACCTCGCATCCCTGCAAAGCCGAGACGGAGCATGCCAGGTTCTCACCGGACCAGGCTCTCACATCACCAAGCGCAAAGCGCCATGAGGTATTCGGCGAGTCGCATGAAGGGTGCCCTGCATCCTGCCTGAGGGTCTTCGGCATCTTGTGCTTACTTCCTTGCGTACGGATGACAGCTGTGTATGACCATATTTTCTGGTGCTTTCACTTCCAAAGACAGCTACAAGCACTGTGTAACTGCCTCGAGGATGCTTGACCATTTTAACACAACGTGGTGCGATCATCCCCCTTGCGCGGAGTGAGGGTCCTCGACCCCGCACAACATGATCTACTCGACCATCATTATGGTTACCGCCAAAAAAAAAACCGGAGGTAAAAAAATAAACGGGAACCTGGTTGCCGAGTTCACGAAGTGAATTGGCTTGTATTACAACGTCGTTGCCAAGCGACGCAAACCCAATCCCGACGGCAAAGACGCGGGGAGGGGGGGGGGGGGCTACGTACCTCCCCCCCTGAGAGGCCCAAAAATATGGTTTTGTCGTGTAGGTGTCGGAAAAACGTTTTTTTTTGCGCCCTTGATTTCGCAGAAAAAAACATTATTCATTTACTCATGTACTCATAGCCAGCGTTTATCGGATAGTAGTGCCAAGCCGAGTACTTCCCATTGGTGTCTCACGCCCGTATTGATAATTGTGGTCTAACTACACGCGAGACAAACCAAACGGTTGTCCTTCATGGCATCAACGGAACCTATCACACCGGTACGTGTGCTTTGCTGTTGCAGTATACATGAGTGATTCCCGCTCAGAGCAACCTGCACTCAGGCTCAGGGGTTGAAGAATATCCTCAAGGCTTCATTATTTCGCTTGTGGGTCACGAACAATCTCAAAAAATGGCACCTGACAATCACGGGATTAGCGCAAAGCGTCAAGGGTAGCCGGGAAGAACAAAATACGTCAGGCCTACACATGCGAGAGGCAAACCAGAAGGTAGCACCCGAATGAGACGGTGCCACTTCCTCAATTGTAGCAAGCACAATACAACGCTACTTAGCACGGCTCTACTCGTTGGAGCCCGAAAGCGGCCATGTTTCATGTTTCTCCCTGCACATCGTGGAATGCGTGGACGTAGAGCTTTATATCAACCGATGAACGACCAACAACATTCTTCATCGTCACGGTGGGCATTGTGCGCGCTACACTGGCCTCGGGCATGCTAGAACAAGGCACGACAGCAGTGTGTGTGTGTGTGTGTGTGTGTGTGTGTGTGTGTGTGTGTGTGTTTCGTCCTTTATATTATGGCGACAGTCCCCCCATTTTTCGTGGTGAGACAGGTACTACACTTTTCAGCGAATGTAGAGTACCACACTTTTCAGTGTATTTTTTCATACAACTACAACCATCCAGGGTCACACAGGAGGGGGTAAACACCAGGGCTTGTTTCTTCTTTATATTTCTTTTCATGCCCCACCTTCCTCGTGCGGTGCGTGCTGAATTTTACTTTTATCGCGAGAAGGGTCCAGCCGCCCCTTTCCCTCGTCAACGGTGCTAACGTCGAAGTTTGGTACTCACGAGAGCTTGTCAGCTCTATTCCGCTTTCACCCGCAAATTTCGTAAATTTTTCACCCCATGGGGATTCGAACTCACGACCGCTGCGACTAGCGGATTACGAGGATACCAATAGACCACCGGGGCGACCGGCGACAGCAGTATGACAAGCTTAGGGTAGGATCCACCGCTGAGGTGTGTTCCGATTATCCTTCTACAGCATTTCGCGAAATTTTGAGCCGCTTTTCCTCGAAGGGGAGTTTTCGTAATTGCGCGGCCGTTCTCAAACGCGGCGCGTATTCCATGCCACCACGGCCGCGGTTGTCTAGTGGTATCCGCCGATACTACACCATGTCCGCCGAGACGGGTGCTCTACTCGGGCGGGGGCGTAAGGCGGCCCAGAAGTCATTTCGCGCTTGTTCAACTGTACGTTCCCGGGGCAATCTTCACCCATGTAATCTTTCCGGCGTGTCCTTCCCAGGCGTGGTCGTCTCTTCAGTGGCATCGGCGGCGGTTGCCGCAAGTGCGGCCGTGGCACGACCGCCGGATGGCACACAGGTACCGGTAACCTGAGGATCGACCGCGGGCTCTGAGTTGGATGCGCTCACCGGTCGGCTCCGTCGTCGCAGGACGAAAAAGCAGTCGCCGTCTCGAAGGGCAAAGCTCGCACTAGGGCTGTTGATCGCCACGTACCGCGACCCACCCGGGCAGCGCCATCGCTCGCGTCTACCCGTTTTTCTGGGTCCTCGACCGTGGGTCGGCGGGCGATGAAGCCCCAGAGCCAACAGGTCTCGGTCTTCCAGGAGCAACCGGAAGGCCTCTCCGTACGTTACAGGGCGTATCCAACTTCTTCTGATGTCGCCGTCGCCGCGGCTGTCATTGTTGTCTCCGACCACTGTTTCTCGTGCTTTGGGAGAATGTTCGGGCCAAAGGACCTCGATGGGGACGCGGGACACGAGGTGCATGACGTCGCTCATGAGAAGCTGGATGTCGGGCGCCAACATGGTCTGAAACCCAAAACGGAGCGGGAGGATGGGGCCTGGGTTGGGGGGGCGTCGTATCGTGGCATGAAAACTTAGCGGTTGGGGATGTGGAAAGTTCAACACACGCAAGGGCGTATTTAGATTGTGGGTCCTTCATCAACACTTACCGCACACGGCCATCGTTTTCTTCGGAAAGTTATGGAATGGTTGGTGTTGAGAGAAAATCGTGTTGATCGAAAAAACAATAACCAGTCTTCAACACAGTCGGGTCAGGCTGCCCTTGTGGACAACGAACACGAGCTCGTCCAAAACAAGTTTGATTTTCCAAATCACCTGAAGCAAGAGAAGCTCGGCGGCATCGCCGATGACGACGTCCCCGGACACGTACCCTGACATGGTGCCGAAAAAATCGTCAAACCCCTCACGCACCACGCCTCGAGTGTCGTCGAAGTAGACCCCGCCTCCACCAACCCCAGCCCGGGCGCTGTAGCCGAAGTCGACCGAGTCTTCCACCGTCATGCCCGCATCGTGGTGCTGTTGGCTAGGATCGTCTGTCTGCTCTTTCCGGCCGTCGAATGAGTTATCCTCTCCCTGCTCTTCTCCGCTTTCTGTGGCGGCCCGTTCCCGACGCCCGGTCTCTCGCTCATGTTCTCGCCGCCGCACGTGCGCGCTGATGACCTGGTGCTGCTCGGCGCTGGCAGAGTCGTCGAACCTCACCACCACCCGCGTCGACTCCGACACCGAGCCGAGGACGTCGACGACCACCCCCATGGCCCACACGTCCGACCCCTGCCCCCGGCCGCTGTGGTCCCCGAGCACGTCGCCGTCACCGCCGCCGCCGCCCCCGCCGCCGCCGCCGGTCTTCTGCGTAGTCGGTTTGTCTTCCGGCCGGCTGGACACGACGCAGATAAGGCCGGCCTTGTCGGCGCCCACTTCGAGCAAGCACTCGCACTCGGTCTCCCGCTTGACGAGTCGGACCCAGGGGAAACGGGCCGCCAGCTCTCGTTCTGCGCGCTCGTCGGCAACCGGGTCCCACCAGGTCGGGGAACAGACAACGCTCAAGGCTGGCGAACCCTCGATATCAAGATCAGCGCCGGCCTCGCACAGGGAGAGGACCACTCCCAGCGCGAAAGACAGCGACTGAGCGACCACGAGAACGGCCCCCGGTGGAGTTCCGACCAGGCTTTCGCCGAGGGGGAATATCGAGGGTGTGAAAGCGTCACCCCTCGCGTCGTGGGCGTCGGACCAGATTGTGCGCTCGAAAGGACCGTCACTGCTCAAAGCAGTCCTTCGCCTGTTTTCTTGGGTCCCATGCTGCCGCTTACCGGCCGGCGGGTTTTCCGCCACGAGGAAGGCGTTCTTGACCCACCCCTCTCGCCGGAGAGACCTTCCTGATGCCTTAGATGGGGCCGTCGTAGCAACCGCTCCAGACGTTGCCCTTCCGGTGCAGTATCGTGCCAAAAGGTCAGCTGACTGTAAAATCGGAGAGGGGAAGGTGTGCGGCACACGGTAGGCACTTCCGACTGAGGAAATTGCTAGAAATCAGAAGGGGGGAACGGATGCGTCAGCCCTGACATATCATGCCACAAAAAAAGAGGATCGTAACAAGAGGGAACGGGGAGGTAGGGAACGACAACGCGGAACATGGTGGGCGGGTGTCAGAAACCGGGGCATGGAAATGACAATCGCTCTTGTTGCGACCGAACGCCCGACACGCTGTTTCGTGCAAGTCACATGTAAGATGGTTTTGGTCGGCCATACACTGCCACACAGTATCCGTCAGGACTAAATCGTAGCGAAAAAACTTGGCTCATCTTCCATGTCTATTACTTGGAAATGACGGGGGTCAAGGAACTGGAATTCATCGTGAAAAAGTCCGTCCGACTTGGAGAGCGTGCAGGTCAATCTCATATTGAAACGCATTGTGCGAAATCCTCTCCGAATTGGGTGGCCTCATTTTTCTTGGGGGACGCCTCTTGGAAGGTCGACATCGCACTGCCCAATGGTTGGCTTTCAGCACAACCAACTTGAAGCAAAAAATAGCGGCTATTAGCACAGAGGCGTTGAGAAGTGCTACAATATACTCACAGGACTGAAGACAGCCGTAAGCTGAGCAAAAAAAAACTCTCCCACCCGTAACCGCTGCTCCGTCCTCTCGAAGACGCGTGGTCATGGTCGAACCGTGAAGGCATGCAAAGCATGAGAACCTGCCCCACGCCTACCCGTTACCGCTTCACTCGCTTCGTCCCGACCCCGCCATAAGCCCGCACCTCGTGATTCGCGCTGATGAACACGCCCACGTCATCCTTCGAAATTATGGCTCCATAATCCGGATGCACTCGCACGCAGCACCGCCCTCGCTTGCTTGCCCCGCACTTGACTCTCCTCATGTGGCCGCCAGAACCTTTGGGGTTGGGGGGGGAGGGGGGGGGAGGACCACTTGATCTCCTGGAAACCTTGTTGGCGAGGTCTTATCGCACAACTTCTCGGGTTGGGTGGTGGGAGTCTGTGCATAGATCATCATTGCTTCCATGCCTGTTTCCATAGGTCTATGTGGTGGGCGGCTCGTGGGCTAGGCTGCTCGGGCCTTTCTCTTTGGTACAGACGAGCGAGAACAAGAGCATGCCCCGTTGAACTCACAGGCGTTACAGATGAGAGCGAACAGGATGCAGCCGCACTTCTCGTGAAGCTCGATCGCCGCGTCCCCCGCGCACTCTCCGGCGAAGCAGGTCAGTCGAAACCGCAGCGTAACTCGCCGCAAAGACCGTAAGTACTCCTGCGTTTAGTCCGGCGTTGGTTTTGTTTCATGTACGGCGAGGGCAACGCCGCGACACCCGGACACAAGAGTGCGACGGAGGACTAGGATCAGAGTGCGTGCCACAAGTGTCATAGCTCGTGTCGTTTCGAGTGCGGTTCACAAATCACGGCTAGGGGGCTGCCTCAGAACAAAGACAACCCCAGGCCACATGACCGCAACATGAGATACCGTGAGAAAAACAGAGAAATGAAGACTCTTGCAAAGCCACAAACCCAGGAGAAGAAATCCTGACCAGAGTAGTTTCCCCCCATGCGCGGAGAAACACGTCGACAAGCATGCCCCATGGTTACCGTAGAACCGAACAGGCACCTCGCAGGCTCGTTCGCGCGTGCGACGACCCTTCACGGCGCACCGCGCAACACAGCAAAACAACATCAAGTCAGAGCGGAGTTACGAGCGGAAGGGCGGGCGGAGAAGGCTCACCGTTTCTGTCTCAAACAACGCCGTCGATTCCGGGTCTCTGGTCACATCCTGCTCAGCCCCTCGTGCTTTGAGCAGATAGTCGGCCTCCGGCATGCACGACAGCATGTTGGTCCATACCGTGGAAAAGCCCGGGTTCTGGTGACAGTCGGCGATAGAAAATCGCCAAAACGAAAACAAGGTCACAGCGCAGAACGGAAAAACAGAATGGCGCATTGCGATGTGCGTCGAGCAACACAGACGGGGGCACGGCTTTTCTTCACAGCATACCTACGACAGGTGCCTGGGCATGGGATACGCCCCTCAGGGGGCCGCCAATTCAGCAGCAAACATAAGTCCAGTCTGGACGTGCTGTGCAGAACACAGATAGCCCCGTGCTCTCGAAACGGCGCCAGGGCTTGAACCGGGCATGGGTGGACTGGCACCACCAGCACCAAAGAACAATGTTGCTCCTTTCCACCGGCTGCAGAACGGCTGGTACGGAGCATGTCCCAGATTTTTTGTGTACCCTGAGCACCGCTACTGCTTCCTCTCAAAACAATTTCAGGCTACCGGCGGAAAACAAACGAGCGTGAGCACCACAAGTTGTCACGTGCGTTTGCACCCTGTAGAGCTCTGACGGTGGCAAACTACCCTGTGTACCCCATCGTGCAGTGCTCCCCATTCCCCTCTCTCCCCTCCATCTTCCGCGTCCCTCCGACTAGAGGCACACGCAAGCAAAAGCCGGCGAACGAGAGAGAAATATCGAACGGACCTTGGGGACAAAACGAGCAGCCTTCCAACCGCCAGGGAGGAGCGCGACTACGTAATCAAATACTTCCTTCGCGCCCAACTTCCCCAACACGACCACCCCAGCTCAAAAACCAACCTCCACTCGACGTAACACTCACGAGGCAGGCCTGGGTGACGAGCCCTTCCATCACTTCGTCGTAGCAGACCACGGAGGCGTCCGGCACCCCGAGCCTCACCAGGCGGCCCTTGGACCTACTGTGCGTAACGAGGCAGAGGACGGACGACCCGGGGGGCGAAGCCTGATTGGCGGAGAGGGCCCGCAACAGCGCCGTCTTGTCCTGCGCCTCCGTGTCGTTGGCGAGGCGGTCGCTGAGAACGAAACACGCCCGGGCGTCCGCGACCCTCGCCCGGCGCAAGTCTTTGGCGGAGCTGAAGGGATGGTCGATGGGATCGGGCGCGTCGTTCGTTACATGGCAAACAAAAAGGGTGGGGGCGTGGGGCGCGTTTGGACATAGGTTGAGCGATTTGGTCACTGGAGCAAGCGGGAATCAGCGCGTCCTGCCGAGGTAACGGGAACGGTTCCGCGATGGCCAAATAGCGCTGCATTCGCCAGGTGCACAGGTTGTCGACTACAGGGAAGAGAACCTTTGTACCTTCTGCCATACAAATGAAATAGGCGGCCCAGAGTAACTGGGCGCCAAATCCTTGACCTAGAATACATAGAGCCCGGCGCACGGACAACGGGAGACAGCGTTCACCTGCATCCACGAGGCAGCGAGACAGGACGAACCGGTGGTAGGAATGCAGGAGACACGGAGGGCAGGTCGAACGGAATTTGCAGCAACGGGTTTCCGGGTGTTCTGCTGTGGCATGGAGACTGGTGGAGTCCATGGTGTGGGGATAGCCGACAAAGAGTCACTGTGCAAGACATCCCACGTTCACTACGGAGTATATCGACGAACGCCTTATGGCCATGAGGTTTCTGTTGGCAGGCCACCGTGGAGCGGTCAACTTTGTAGCCGCGTCTGCTCCAACCGAACCTTCAACCGCCGACAGCAAGCACATGTTCTGGGGAAACTTGACAGTCTCGTGCGGAGGATCCTTTCCACAGAATGTGCGTATGTCCTAATGGACGCCAACGCGCGGACGGGAGATAGGTTGGACGGAGGAGACGGAAGGGTAATAGGAATGTACGGGCGTGACGAGCTCAACGAAAATGGCATGCTATTTTTAGATTTCGCAACGGAAAACAGGCTAGCTATCACGAACACGTTCTTCGAGACACGCAAGGGCGGAATATGGCACACATACAACGGTGTGTCGGGAAACGATTGCAAACACCTTTACTACATCCTGACAAGGCAGGCACAGTACGGCCGAATATCTAACGTGGTTGTCATCCCCCAGCCGATTCGCACAGCCGAAGCAGACTTAGACCACAATATGGTAGTAGCCACCGTCAACCTCGGTGGCAGGCTTGCCCACAACCGTGCAGTCCGGACAAAACCGAAATAGAAGCAACTCAACAGACGGGAAGCGCAGTTCGAAGTAGCACGGTGTGCGGTGACTAATTGGTTCCTCCTCAACCTCGACACACGGCTGGACGAGCGAACAACAACCGCCGCGGATTTGGCGACCGAATTTACCAATGCTCTCCTCGAAGTAGCGCAGACGACCCTTGGGGAGGAACCGCGGAGACGCCGCACGCAGGAGTGGTGTGAGACCCCAGAGACGAGAGAAGCGCTGGAGCAGGCCCTTACCAAACGGCGGGAAGCGCGCCGGGCGATGAGGGGCAACTGGAACTCAGCAGCGTGGAGGGTTCTCAAAGCCGCGTGTAAGGGAGTGGCTACAGCAGTCGAAACGGGCATTTATGCCCACCTGGACGGATATGTGACTGAACTCGAAGCAATCTACAAAGATCGCGACATGCGAGGACTGTACCAACACCTCAGGAAATCAGTGGGCCTCAGCGGGAGGCAAGCGGGGGGACAGCAGTTCGTCGCAGGTGAGAACGGTGTTGCTCCGGAACAGGGACAACATCCTCCAGCGGTGGGCGAGATTCTTCAGCACCCTACTCAACACCAAATCCCCCACCCTGAACCCAGACATCATCGAACGAGTGACGCAGCGGCCAGCGACACGTGACACTCAACGGTTGGGAGATGTGCCAGAACTCGAGGAGGTGGCACGGGCAACGAAAGGCCTCAAGAACTGGAAGGCACCCGGCCATGACTCCCTCCCTGCCGAGTTGCTCAAGATCGATGACGACGAACCCTTCGTCCTGGGACACCTCCATACCATCCTCGTCAAGGTGTGGAACGGAGGAGACATCCCGCGAGACTTCAAGGATGCAACCACCAAAGGTGCTGTGCAAGGACGGTGACCGGTCCAACAATAACAACTACATACAGGGGGATTTCGCTACTATCTCACGTAGGCAAGGTCCTCATCAAGATCATCACCAACCGTCTAAGGGCCTTCTGCGAAGCTAACAACATCCCCCCGGAGGAACAGTGCGGATTTCGACCCGGGCGATCCACCGTCGACATGCTGTTC